CTTTGACCGCTACCTCTATACTTCTGCTTCTACCTTATTTAAGCCTCTATTCTGGGGATCTCTTGTAACTCCTAGGGGAAGCTAATCATAGCGAAAGCTTTGTTGCCATGTAACTGATACTATTATAGGTTGGAAACAACATAAATATCCATCTCTATGAAACTGGAATACTACTTATGGAATACATTGAAAAAGATAATCTAGACCTGAACTATGCAATCAGCAGCTACTCACCTCATGTGCCTGTGGGCACTTGAAATTTGACATCAAATTGAGATGTGCTATTTAAGTACAAAATACACACTAAAATTTGAAGACTTAGCACAAAAAAAGAAAGTATTTCTTATTATTGATTGTATGTTGAAATTATAATATTTCTGATATACTGAATACAAAATATATTATTAAAAATAATGTTGAGGTTTCCAGTTAAGATGGCAGAGTAGGAAAACTGTGCTTGTCTTCTCTCACAACCACTTCAAAATTGCAACTAAACTACAAAATAGCTATCTTTGGGATTTGCCTGAAGTCTAGCTAAACAGAAGTCTTATATCTGGGAACATACAAAGTGAGTAACCTCGAGACTGGTAAGAGGTGCAGAGATGAGGAACAGATTGGTCCCCACATCCACATGTGGCAGATGAGAATGAGGAGGGATATATTGGCTATGATGGTCTCTCCAGAGATGTGAGGGGTCCTGGTCCTGGGGCCCAGGGTTCCAGTGCTGGGAAGAAAAGTCCCCAAAATTTCTGGCTGTGAAAACCAGTGGAGATTATGGCTGAATGAGATGGAGGGTGGATGGATTCCTAGACATTCCTCTTGAAATTGAAGGACCCACGTGTAAACTTACTCGGTGATAGATTTGCTCACTTTGAGTTATAGCACTGGGGCAGTGGCTTGAAAGGCACCAGGAAGATACGGGGAGGAAGTGAATTATCCTGCTTCAGGATGAGGGCTGGAGGGGCAGCTTTATCCCAGATAGAAGTGCTGGCAGAGTCTACTGTATTTTGTTGAGCATGCAAACACAGGTGGCCCTCATATCTGAGTCTCCAACAACCTAGCTAACAATGGTTGCCTTGCCCTAGTGATTCCCTGAGACTTTGCCCCACCAAACTTGTGGGCTGCTTCCAGTGGCTTTTCCATACAAATGGCATACCTTAGCTCATGCTTCGGACTTTCATAAAATCCCTCAAGGGTTCACAAAACCCAAACAAGCAGCATCTGCCCTTGGTGTGCCCTGTACCTCTTGCTGAGCAGGCCCAGCCTGGCAGTAGTAGCAGCCAGCTTCAGTTTGTGGCTTGGCCTATTAAGGAACTGCCAAAATGAGCATGGGTGGTGGCCATCTTCAGATTGCCTGGTGACTCGTCAGGTGGCCCTGGGCTGGTGGCAGCTAAACTTGGCCTGTGGTGGGACCCTTCCCAGGAGGCCCAAAGGCCGGCCTGCCTGGTGGCTGCTCTGGATCCACCAGAGCACTACCTGGCTACCTCTGCAAATGACACACCCAAAGGGCAAACTGGGCAGGAACCAGAGCCCTGCCAAAGCAAATCCGACTCCATAGGGTCAGCCCCTCACTGGTAAGTACTCACAACTGATTAGCCCAAAGGTCAGTCTATCTCATTCACATGCAAACAGCAACCAAGGCTCAACTATAACAGGAGGGCACACACAACCCATACATAGGACATACCTGGAGCACGCAGCTCAATTGACCAGGAAAGAGTACGCCACTGAGCCCCCCATAAGACTCTTACTATAAAAGGCCAATCTACTAAGACTGGAAGACATAGGAGCACTACCTTATTAGAAACAAACACAAGGAAGCAGATAAAATGGGGAAACAAAGAAACATGTCATAAATAAGAAAACAGAACAAAGCTCCAGAAAAAGAACTAAACAGAATGGAGACAAGAAACTACCAGATACAGAGTTCAAAACACTGGATATAGGGATGCTCAATGAACTTAGAAGATGAGCAGATGAATTCAATGAGTACTTTAACGAAGGGATAGAAAACACAAAAAATGGAGATAGTAAACATAAAAAAGAACCAGTTAGAAATGAAGAATGCAATAACTGAAATTAAAAATACCCTAGGGAGGAAACAAAAGTAGATTAGATGAAGCAGAGGATTCAATCAGTGATTTAGAAGATAAGGTAGCAGAAAACACCCAATGAGAAGAACAAGAAAAAAAAAATCCAAAAAAAAATGAGAATAGTTTAAGGGGCTTCTGGGCCAACATCAAGCATACCAACATTTGCATTATAGGGTTACCAGAAGAAGAAGAGGGAGAGCAAGGAATTGAAAACCTAGTTGAAAAAATAATGATGGAAAATGTCCCTAACCTAGCAAAGGAAATAAAACATACAAGCCCAGGAAGTGCAGAGAGCTGAAACAGGATGAACCCAAAGAGCCCCACACCAAGACACATCATTGTTAAAATGCCAAAGGTTAAAGACAAAGACAGAATCTTAAAAGCAGCAAGAGAAAAGCATCTATTTACCGACAAGGGAGCTCCCAAAGACTGTCAGCTGGTTTCTCAACAGAAATTTTGCAGGCCAGAAGAGATTGGTTTAAAATATTCAAAGTGATGAAAAGCAAGGACCTGCAACCAAGATCACTCTACCCAGCAAATCTATCATAAAATAGAAGGACAGATAAAGAACTTCTGAGACAAGAAAAAGCTAAAGGAGTATATTAACATTAAACCAGTATTACAAGAAATTTTAGAGGGATTTCTTTAAGAAGAAAAAAAGATTAAAAATATGAATAATAAAATGGCAATAACTATATATCTGTCAGCAATTACTTTAAATGTAAATAGATTAAATACTACAATCAAAAGATAGGGTGGCTAAATAGGTAAGAAAATAAGACCATATGCTGCCTGTAAGAGAACCACTTCAGATCGAAAGACACATACACTCTGAAAGTAAAGAGATGAAAAAAAGATATTTGTGAAAATGGAAATAAACAAAAACCTAGGGTAGCACTACCTATACCAGACAAAATAGACTTTAAAACAAAGGCTATAACTAGGGACAAAGAAAGACCAAGTAATTTCACTTCTGGGTATTTATCCAAATAAACCCAAAACACTACTTCAAAGGGACATGTGAATCCATATGTTCATTGCAGTATTATTTACAATAGCCAAGATATGGAAGCAGCCTGGGTGTCCATCAATAGATGAATGGATAAAGAAGAGGTGGTATATATATACAATTGAATATCACTCAGCCCTAAAAAAAAAAAAAAGGAAATCTTGCCATCTGCAACAACATGGATGGACCTAGAGGGTATTGTGCTGAGTGGAATAAGTCAGAGAAAGACAAATGCCATACGATTTCTCTCATATGTGGAAACTAAAGAACAAAATAAACACACAAAACAGAAACAAGCTCATAGATACAGAGAATATTTTGATGGTTGCCAGATGGAGTGAGGTTTGGGGGACTGGGTGCGAAAGGGAAGGGATTAAGAAGTACAAATTGGTAGTTACAAAATAGTTATCGGGATGTAAAGTATACAGCATGAGGAAAACAGTCAATATTGTAATAACTATGTATGGTGATTGCAATCAGGGTGATTGCTTTATAAGACACACAAATGTCTAATCACCATGTTGTACACCTGAAACTAATATAATATTATGTGCAAACTGTAATTTAAAATTTTTAAATTTATTTAAAAATATATAAGATAAATAAAAATGTCACCTGTTTCTTTTTACTTTTTTTAAATGTGTGGTATAACAAAACATATACATTTGGTCTTTATTTCCAGTTGGTAAGAGTTCCTAAAACTCTTAGAATTTCCTGAGTGACAGAAGTTTATGCTAATGAGGTATTGGCAGGAGAGCGCTGCTTGCCAGAGGAACCAACCATGTGATTAGAGGGCTGGAACTTTCATTACACCCACTGCCTCACCTTCAGGGGTAGGAAAGGTGCTGGAGATTGAATTCAACCATCAATGGCCAATGATATAATCAATCATGCCTAAGTAATGAAACCTCCATAAAAAAAAACCTAAAATACAGTGTTTAAGGAGCTATCAGGTCAGTGGCCACTTCGAAGTGCTGGGAGGGTGGCACCCAGAACAGGCATGGAAGACCCAGTTCCCATTCTCTCTTTCAATGTTTTGCCCTATGCACCTCTTCCATGTGGCTCTTCCTGAGTCTGTATTTCATATTAAACACAAGTAAGGTGTTTCCCTCAGTTCTGCAAGTCCTAGCAAATTATCAAATTTGGGAACCCCTAAATTTATAGCTGGTAACCCAGAAGTACAGGAGGCCCCTGGGACTTGTGACTGGCATTTGAAGTAGGGTGGTTTGTGGAACCAAGCTTGTAACTTGTGGGGTCTGTACTAACTCCAGTAGTTAATGTCAGAATTGAAATAAATGAACTATTAGACACCTGGTTGGTTTCAGAGAATGGGTGTGGAAAAACAACAGATATTTGGTATCAGAGAAAAAAAAAAAGACATCTCAGTATAGCTACTAGAAAATTTTAAATTACATTTGTAGTTTGCATTAGATTTCTAATGGATAGCACTGATCGAGACAGATTATCTATGCATATTGGCACAGAAAATGATCATGCTGTATTATAAAATATGAAAAAATAGGCTACAAACATGCATGTATAGTATGTTCATATCCTAGTATAGGACTGTATATTTGTGGACATTAACAGAAAGTTAACTGTGGTTTTGTTTTACAACAAACAATAAATGCCTATTAATCTTTATAATTAGCATTAATCCACAAAGCATCTTCATTGTGGGCTAACATTCCAGGGTTCACCTGCATGAGAGTACTTCATAGGTCCCAGGATTATTAACACATAATATTTTCCCCATGCCCTGTCCCTCTAAAATTAATGCAAATTCTATATCTCAAGTCATTCACTACTCAGTTGATCCAATAATACAGTTTAATGTTTTACTAAAAATGAAAAACTTTGGAAAGAGAAAAAAGAAAGAATAAACAACAAATACTAACCTCCAGGTAGGTTCTGGGAACAAGACCTATGTTTCCTCTGGCATTCTTAGCCATCCACCAACCATCAGGGCTTTTTTCAATTATAAAGAGAATTTCTCCTTTCTTAAAGCAAAGCAAAATTTTAAAATATTAATTAAAATTTAGCCCTGAAATAGGAATTTATCAACATTAAAGTTATTTTCGAAAATAGAAGAGCATTTACTCTTTTACCAGGTAACTTTGATAACAGAATTTTGCATGAATACTGCCTGTAAATCATTAATTATTATTTGTTTTACTTAAACAAATTGAGTCTTTAGAAACTTAGTATCAGGAATATGTTCTACAGGTACACAGGTAGAGTTTTCTTATTCTGTTAGGTATGCAAATTGCTCCTGAGGTTAGGTTCCAGTCTTGTTTCTACCTGCCTTGAATGTCAGATCCCCAGCCTGCTGAGTAGCAAAACCTTCAACAGCAATGTATTCTCTACTTGTCCATTGGTGAGCTTCATTTTCCTGTTTCTCCTCCTCCTCCTTTTCTATTTCTTTTTCCTCCCCATCACTTTCTTCACTTTCTTCTTCACTGTCGTCTTCATCTTCTTCAGCAGAAACACCCTCTTCTTCTCTAAGTGCCCCAATTCTGCAAAAAAGAAAAAAAAAAGAATTCTGTGACAAGGATCACCTGAAATAACGTTTTAGAATATATCAAGTATAAATTCTCTATACAGAAGATCTGGCCTATATTTGGAACTGGAAAATAAAGGAGACAAGGGGAAAGCATAGTTAATGGTTTCTATCATTTAGCTAAGAGTACATACCTCAAGAGAGTTGATGTCAGAAGCATGGTGGCATGAGGGGCCCCCTTGATCTCTCTCCTTTAAACTATAACAAATTGGACAGTTATAATCCAATAGAAGATTCCCAGCTTAACACACAAACACTTTTGAGAGATCTACCCATCAAAGCATTTGAGGATGGGCAAACTGGGAAAGTAAGGGAGGAGGAAAGGAGAGGAGCAGAGACAGGTACAACAGACACATCCTGGAGCTCCCTGTGGGACTCGGGAAGAGTGGAGGAATCAGGTTGTGGTGTGCACTCTCTGTAGCCCCAAGCACTCCTGCCTGAGTAATCAGCACAGAGACCAGGGCAGAGACAGAATAAGAAGTGTGACAGCTGTGTTCTAAAAAGTAAGTCACGGAGCCTGGATACCTCCCCTGACTCTTCGACAGCTGCCTCCTTGAACCCTCTCAGAGCTAGCAGCAGGCCCCAGGAAAAAGTGCAGCAGCTAGTGTCCTCCTATAAAGTAGAGAGTCTGCAGCCCCAGGAACTGAGGGCTTCCGAGTGGCAGACACAATGTACTCACTGCAGCTAGTCCTAGGAACAAGGGTGGAGATACAGAGGCCTGGTCACTCTTACTAGCCCTAGGCACACTGACAGGCTCTCCAAACCCAGCCCATGCCCACCTATCAAAGCTGATCCTGATGGAGGCACTGGGCCACCACAGGCAGCATAACACTGCATTTGGCTGCTGGAGCAGCACCAGGACTTCAGGGGCTCTTTAGGGGCTCAGAACCCCATCATCCATCACATTCTCCCACAGGAGTAGGGCCCTGGGACCAAGGCGACCTGATCACAGGGGAGACACACACTTCCCCAGGAAATAAAGAACATTTTTTTTTCTGCCACACAGTAGAGATCTGGGAAGCCTAGGCAGTGGAGGAGGCTTGTGCAATACCTACTGAAAAACAAAAGAAAAACCTCTTCTTATCAACCTGCTAATGAGGGAGTACTATTGATAATAATAAAATTTTTTAGAAAGCAGAGTTCATTCCCATAAATGCTTAGGCAAAGAAATAATCTATCAAATACCATGAACAACCAAGGTGACAAGGCAGCTTAGAAAGAAAATAAAAAGTCTCCGGAAAATAAACTTAAAGATATAAAAATATGCAATTTAAATGACAGAGATTTTTTTTTTTTCACAGCAGGAAAGAAAAGCTTTATTAGAAGAGAAAGTACACTTCCAGACATGGAAGTGGGCCCAAGCAAGAGAAGCATGGCTCAAAAGGCCTAAATGACAGAGATTTCAAGACCGCAATTCTGAAAAAAAATTAATGAGATGCAAGAAAACTCAGTTTAATGAACTCAGAAACAAAATCAACGAACGATAGAAATACTTTACCAAAGAGAATGAAACTCTAAGAAAGAACCAAATAGAAATTCTGAAGCTGAAGAATTCGATAAAGTATATGAAGAACGAAGTAGCAAGCTTAGAGGTGACCAGATAGAAGAAAGAATTAGTAACATTGAAGACAGAAATCTGGAAATGACACAGAAGAAGAGGAAGACTTGAGAGTAAAAATAAAAAGAAAGAACTCTACAAGCACTATCTGACACCATCAGAAAAAGCAATATAAAAATAATTGTTATACCAGAAGGAGGAGTGAGGGAGAAGGGAACAGAGAGCCTATTCAAACAGTCAACAAGAACTTCCTAAACCTATGAAAAGAACTGGATCCTTGAATCCAAGGGCAAACAGAACACCTAATTATCTAAATCCAAAAAGACCTTCTCCTAGACACATTATATTAAAACTGTCAAAAATTAATGACAAAGATAGAATTCTCAAGGTATCCAGGGAAAGAAGACCTACAAAGGAGAACCCATTAGGTTACCATCGGATTTTTTAGCAGAAACTCTGTAAGCTAGGAGGGAGTGGAATCAAATATTCAAGCTATTGAAAGAGAGAAATTACCAGCCAAGAATATTATATCCAGCAAAGTTCTCCTTTAGATGTGAAGGAGTAATAAAGAAATTCTTAGACAGAGAAGTTGAGATTTTCTACCATAAGGCCTGCATTACAGGTAATACTGAAGAAGGTTATTATACCTGAAACAAAAAGACCAAAACGATACAAAACTTTGTGTAAGATGACTAACAACAGGCAGAAACAGGAAATTGCAACATTTATTCAGAATAGGGTATTATAAACTTAAATATTAGGTAATGGTTAAAGGAGGTAAACATATTTTAAAATGAGGAGACAATAGCTACTGCAACTCAGAAATGGAATCACAGCATAAATAGGGCCAATTTGAGACAACAAAACCAGAACGGGGAGAGAATAAAGGTCTGAACTTGCAAAGAGCAATGGAGATAAAACTCATGGAGAAAAAAAAGGATTACTATACATGTGAAATTTTCTTTTACATAAACTTAATGGCAACCACACACAAAAAATCCAGAACTGAGACACATAACATAAAACAAGAGAGAACAGAGGAAAACATCATATAATATCACCAAACTAAAATAACAGACAGAAACAAAAGGGCAAAGAAGCAAGAGACACCAAGCTACCAGAAAATTAAAGATAAAATGGGAACCTCATATTTCAATAATCTCCCTATGACAAACGAGTAGGACAAACAAACAGAGACTCATGGACATGGACATGGACTATAGACTAGTGGTTACCAGAGGACTATAGACTAGTGGTTACTTGTGGGGGTGGAGGGAGGAGGGGGGAGGTAGACGGGATAAAGGGAGTCAAATATAGGGGGATGGGGAGGGTGAGGTGGGTAAAGGGGATCAAATATATGGTAGCTGAAGGAAACTGGACTTGTGTGGTAAACACACAATTAAATATACAGATGTCAAATGATAATGTACACCTGAAAATTATATAATTGTATTAACCAATGTTATCCCAATAAACGTAATTAAAATAAATAAATAAATAATCGCCCTGAATGTAAAACCAACAGAAAGGCACAGAGTAGCAGATTACATCAATCAACAAAACCCAATCATATGCTGCCTTCAAGAGACACATCTCAGCTGCAAGGACCAATATAGACTCAAAGTGAAAGGGTGGAAGACGATATGCCAAGCAAATGGCATCCTGAAAAGTGGGTATAGCCACACTTATATATGATGAAATAGACTTCAAAATAAAAAAGGTTATGAGAGACAATGATAGACACTAATAATGATAAAGAGGACAATACACCAAGAAGACATAACACTTATCAATACATATGCTCCCAATCAGGGAGTACCAAATATATAAAGCAACTACAACAAACTAAAGATAGAACGGAAAAATACATAATTATAGTAGGATACCTAAATACCCTATTGACAACTATGGACATATCATCCAAACAGAAAATCAATATGGAAATATCAATGTTAAATGACACATTAGACCAACTGGACATAACTGACATTTACAGAGCCTTCCATCCTAAAACATCAGCTAATAAATTATTCTTTAGTGCACATGGAACATTCTCAAGGATAGACCATATTTTGGGACACAAAACAAGCTTCAACAAATTTTAGATGATTGAAATCATACCAAGCATACTCTCCATCCAAAATGCTTTGAAAATGAAGATCAACTGTAAAAAGAAAGAAGGGAAAACCACAAAAATGTAGAGATTAAACAACATGCTACTAAAGGACAACTGGGTCAAAGAGGAAATGAAAGGAGAGATCAAGAGATACATAGAAACAAATGAGAATGAAAGTACAATATATCAAAACTTCTGAGAAACAGCAAAAGCAGTAATAAGAGGAAAGTTCATATCATTACAGACTTATCTCAAGAAAAAAGAAATGCCCAAATAAACATCCTAACATTATATCTTTAAAAACTAGAAAAGGAAGAACAAACAAAGTTCAAAGTCAGAAGGAAATAATCAAAATTAGAGCAGAATTAAATAAAATTGAGAACAAAAAGGCAATAGAAAAAATTAATGTAGCATAGAGCTGGTTCTTTGAAAAGATCAATAAAATTGACAAACCCCTGGCTAGACTCAGTAAGGAAAAGAGAGAAAAGACACAAACAAATTCAGAATTGAAAGAGGAGAAGTTACAACAGATACCACCAAAATATAAAGTATCATACAAGACTACTAGGAAAGATTATATGCCACCAAATTCAATAACCTAGATGAACAAGTTCTTAGAAATATACAATATTCCTAGACTGAATCACTAAGAAGTGGAACATATAAATAGACTGACCAGCAGTAAGAAACTGAAACAATCATCGAAAACCTCCCAAAAGTAAAAGTTCAGGACCAGATGGCTTTGCCAGTGAATTCTACCAAACAAAAGATGATTTAATACCTGGAAGAGTTCTTCTCAAACTCTTCCAAAAAAACTGTAGAAGAGGCAATACTTCCTAATTCATTTTATGAGACCAACATCACGTGATACCACAAAAAAAAGAAAACTATAGACCAATATCTCTAATGAATACAGGAGCAAAAATCCTAACCAAATACTAGCAAATCAAATACAACAATACATTAAAAACATTATATATCACGATCAAGTAGAGTTCATTCTAGGGGGACAAGGATGGTTCAACATTTGCATATCGATCTGTGTGATACAGTACCAAATAAAATGAAGGATAAAAATCACATGATCATATCAATAGATGCAGAAAAAGCATCTGACAAGACAAAGCATCCATTTAATATCAAAACAGTTAATAAAATGGGTATAGAAGGAAAGTACCTCAACATAATAAAGTCCTTATATGACAAATCTTCAGCTAATATCATACTTAATGGTGAAGAACTAAAAGCTTTCTCTCTAAGATCAGGAACAAGACAAGGCTGC